TTTGTGGCTCGGCAGGCAGGCCCCGTGATCAAGGTTAAAATCCCGAAGGACCGAGACGGGAGGCCCAAGCAGTTCGCGTTCGTGAACTTCAAGCACGAGGAGTCCGTCCCCTACGGGCTGAGCCTCCTCAACGGCATCAAGCTCTACGGCCGCCCCATCAAGATCCAGTTCCGATCAGGTGCCCGCAAAACCCGCCGTGAAACGGCTCGCTGGGGGGGAGAACACAACTGCCGGCTGCTCCCCCCGCCCAAAGTCCGACAGGTTGATCTTTATTTGGGTAAATGGCGCGTGCTGCCTGCCACACGGCTGCTCTCCCGGTGGACGATGGTTCCGTGGAAGGAGGGGGCCGTGCAGGCGGCTGCTTTCGTCCCTCTGCTTCCACCGGGGACCCTCCTGTCTGTCACGACCGAGTAGAATCCTGGAGCTGAGGCTTCTGCTCATTGGGGGTTTTATTTATTATTTGTTCTGTACCCTTGCAAGCTGTTCTAAATTGTCACACAAGCAGTAGAAGTGGCACCTGGGGTCAGTTGAATATCACCACCCGATTGCATCTTACTGGGACAGTTGCAGAGTCCTGTTTTGGAGGCTGGACCACAGGGCACTGGCAGAGCTCGGGAGCTAATTGTGTGCTACCCCTCAGTGCCTGACAAGGTCACTCCACACCCAGGTTCCTCCATCTCCTGTTTGTCAGTCCCATGAAACCCTTGTTTCTCCCCAGGGAGCAGTCACGCCTCTCACGAGGGGAATCCCTCCTGTTCCCCACACGGAGCCGCCAGCACCAGCCCCTCGGGCGCCCCGCACCCCGCCGCCAACTGCAGCCGGTACGAGTCCCACACGAGGTACCCGCACGGGGTGGGAGGTGGGAAGGGGCTCCCAGGGGTCCCTGCCTCCCGGGCTGTTTTTCCCAGCCCAATCTGCTCTTTCTTCCCTGCGGAGGAAGAACTTGCATCCCTGGGGCCCTGCCTGCTCGGCGCCTGAAATCCTGCTGCAGAAAGAAGAGCCTGGGGTTTTCCCAGGAGCGTAGGGAAGGTCCATTGGGGAAAGGCACACAGCAGGCACATCCACACTGGTTTCTGACCCTGGTGGGGAGCTAAAGGCTGACACTTGGACTCTTATTCCATTTCTAATGGGAGTAACATGATTAGGATCCCAGTGCCCCTTGGACTGCAGTAGTCTCGGCTCTAAGGCTAAAATTCCTAACCTTTTTGTTTTTTTTTCTGCAGATATGACAGGAGTCCCGACAGTATGGGAGCAGCAGGATTCTCCTCGGCGCAGCGGTCCCTGCCCTCTGCGGAGAACCTCCAGAGACAAGCGGTGGTACGCTGCTGGCTGGGGCTGGGAGACAGCACGCGGCAGAGTTGTCTCTGATCCTGAGTCCTCCTTCCCTGTGATGGTTGCGGGAGGTGGTGGGAACGTACCTCTGGAGTGTAAAAAGGATAATTCCAGAAGATTTGCGGCTCCTGGTACTCAGGTGGTCAGTCAGGGAGGGCCTTGAGCTTCAGGTGTTCAGCTCTAGATCACAGAATCGTAGAGTTGTCTGGGTTGGAAGGGACCTTTCAGATCATCGAGTCCAACCATCAACCCGACTCTGATAAAAACCACCACTACCCCATGTCTCTAAGCACTACATCAGCCTGTCTTTTAAACACCTCCAGCAAGGCAGATGAAGCAAGGGGTAGCAGCTGTTCTCCAAGTTCGTGTTTAGTCTCCTTTCCAACCCAAAAACTCACATTTTCCCTCATACTTACAGCGTGATTAGTGTGCGATTTGGAACCAGCGCGGGGGGGTTGGGGTTTCTCTGTGCCCAAAAAGGGCTCCGGCACCCCCCTGACCCTTTTCTTCTTCTTGTTGCAGATGAAAAGCGCCGGATGGCAGCAGCCCCCCTTCCCCCTGCCCGGATACCCCCCCCACGCCTTCCACCCGGCCCCCCAGATGCCGCGGCGGCCGGAGCTGCCGCGCAAGGGCCGTCCCAGCGCCCACCCCTACCACCCCGACGGCCGGCACTTCGGGCGCGAGCGCTTCGGGGAGAGGGGCCACGAGGGCGAGCATCACTACCGGGGGGGCAGAGAGGAGCCCCCCTACGCTGACAGGCACCGGGACGGCTGGAGCCACGACTACGACTACCGGAGGGAGGGCTACCGAGACACCAAGTGGCCCCCCTCGCGGCATTAGTTCAGGCCTCTCCGCTTGAAAGAACTTGACGGGCAAAGAAAGTTCAGCCTGTTTCTTACCGAGTCTGTGTATAACCCCCCCAACCCTCGGGCCCTGGCGGGCGCCTTTTAACGTTTGTAAAAATAACCTCGTCCCCTGGAACCAGCGTCTCCATTGTAGGTGTTTGAACTCTGTGTGGGGAAAAAAGAGCAATGTGTCACAGCTGGGGAGAGGCGGCCGCTGTTGGTGTTGTAGAGCACGATTGTATTTTTGTCACGGGCAGCCGTGTCCGTCTCCGTGTCCATCTCCGTGTCCCTCTGAGGCGGCACTGGGACGGACGCTTCATGGCCCCCGAAATCCCCTCTGCGGCCACTTCCATACAGGACATTGGAACCTTCCCTCTCGGGAAGAGCATTAAACGTCTCCCTGGAAAAAAAAAACAAACGCGGGTCAACCGTCCTCATTCCGCCCACCGGCTCCGCCTAACGGGGCCGGGCACCCCCCGGTGTCGCCCGGGGCGGGGAGAGGCCGCCGCCAGTCACGGAGCCGCTTTCCGGTAGGCGCCAGCCGGCCCCCGGACTACAACTCCCGGCAGCCTTCGCGCTCGCCGACCGTGCCCGCCCGGGGGTCCGTCGCCGCGGGGCCTGCCGGGAGTTGTAGTGCGGCGGCGGCGCTTTGCGGCCTGGCGGCGATGCTGGGCGGCAGCCGCGCTGGCC